ATGCAAATTAAAACCACACTAAGATTCCACCTCACCCCTGTTAGAATAGCCATCATCAGCAACACCACCAACAACAGGTGTTGGCGAGGATGCGGGGAAAAAGGAACCCTCTTACACTGTTGGTGGGAATGTACTAGTACAACCACTCTGGAAAAAAATTTGGAGGCTACTTAAAAAGCTGACATGATCTACCATTTGATCCAGCAATACCACTCTTGGGATATACCCAAAGACTGTTACTCCAGAGGCACCTGCACATCCATGTTTATTGCGGCACTATTCACAATAGCCAAGTTATGGAAACAGCCAAGATGCCCCACCACTGACGAATGGATTAAGAAAATGTGGTATCTATACACAATGGAATTTTATGCAGCCATGAAGAAGAACGAAATGTTATCATTCGCTGGTAAATGGATGGAATTGGAGAACATCATTCTGAGTGAGGTTAGCCTGGCCCAAAAGACCAAAAATCGTATGTTCTCCCTCATATGTGGACATTAGATCAAGGGCAAACACAACAAGGGGATTGGACTAGAGCACATGATAAAAGCGAGAGCACACAAGGGAGGGGTGAGGATAGGTAAGACACCTAAAAAACTAGCTAGCATTTGTTGCCCTTAACGCAGAGAAACTAAAGCAGATACCTTAAAGCAACTGAGGCCAATAGGAAAAGGGGACCAGGAACTAGAGAAAAGGTTAGATCCTGTATAGCTATGCTTATCTCAACCAGCAAAACCCTTGTTCCTTCCTATTATTGCTTGTATACTCTTCTCTACAAGCAAAATTAGAGATAAGGCAAAATAGTTTCCTGCTGGTATTGAGGGGGGGAGCGGGGGGGGCGGAGTGGGTGGTAAGGGCGGGGGTGGGGGCAGGGGGGAGAAATGAACCAAGCCTTGTATGCACATATGAATAGTAAAAGAAAAATGAAAAAAAAAAAAAAAAAGAAAAGGATTCGTGATTGCTTAGGTCTGGGTGCGGGAACGTAGATTGGCTGTATATGAGTTGAAACTTTCTTTTGGGGGGTTATGGTAATGTTCTAAAATTATATTGTGGCGATCATTGTACAACTCTGTAAGTATACTGAAATCATTGAACTGCATTCAAAATGAATGCACTTTGTGGTGTGGTAATTTCATGCTATGTAAATTATATCTCAATAAAACTATTAATTAAAAAAAAACAAAGTGTACTTGGTTGTCAAAGAATATATTTTTTGAAGGTAGAAGATGTTTTATGAATGGCTGAATAAAATTAACTAAGGGAGAAAAATATATACTTAAAAATGTGTTTTAATTATGTTTTCTATAAAGAGACACACCTCATTTTTACCAATACCTATTAATGTAATTTGTCTTGTCAAGATTTTGTGTAGTTTTAAAAAATATTTAGACATCTATCTGTTATTTAGTACCATTTTAAAACTGCTGCTAAGTTGATGTTGTATGATGACTTTTGTTATGAAAAATTTAAAAACAGGTCAAAATAATCCCACAGAGACACTTCAAGAAAATATTCCAACAGTGTGCCAGAATTGCCACTGTGGTGGAAATTTGTCTAGGGATTCTCCTTTTGCAGAGGAAGACATGCTGCTTGGTTCTCTGGCATACTCCTTTTATATGAAGCTCAAATTAAACAATTACAGTAATCTGTCAAATGCTAGGATAGATTAAGTCAAAGTAGGGAAAGGCACCTACTCTGGACTTGAAGAAAAAACTCTTATAGGAATGTAATTTTTACTGAGATCTGGAAGGTGAGTAAAAATTAGTTAAGTGTGGTTAAGAAATAGGATAGCACTAAAAATGCCTTAAGTAGGCAGAGAGAATGGCTCGTGGAAATATCAGGAGGCTATGTAAATGCAGCTTGTGGGAGGAATTAGATAAGCTTATAATGGTCATGTATATAGTGGAAAAGAGAAATGCAGAGGTGTATGTATGAGACAGGACCCTGAAAAGCAAGTATTAATATTATAGATTTTAACTCAACCATTTTGATCATTACATTAAGAGTAAATGGTTTAAATATATGAATGAAAAGGTAGAGATTATCATATTGGATAAAATTCAAGAGATAATTATGGCTCTATGAAAGAAATCTACTTTAAATATAAATTTACTGATACATTAAAAAGGATGAAAAAGAAATCCCATACAAATACTAATTAAAAGAAAACTAGAATGATGGATTATAGCATTATGAATGTATTTGTTGAACTTTACACTAAAAAATAGTTAAGATGATAAATTTTAGGTTACGTGTATTTTATAACAATAAAATAAATTGTATACATAAGAGGCATACATGAACATGGAAACAGTGAATTTTTCTTGACAGTAAGCTTATGGGTGATTTATCTTCTTATTTTTGATCATCTGTTTTTCTCTGTCTTTATATATTATTAATGCTGTATAGGTGTTATTTGTATAATGAAAAATAAATTAAAAAGTAAAAATTAAAATAAAAAATAAAGCTGGAGTGGCTATACAAATAGAAGCAACATTAGGCTTCAGATCAATGGATATTAGTAGCAAAAGAGAATAACATTATATAAGATTAAAGAAGTCAATTTGTCAAGAAGATACAGCAATCTTAAATATGTATATGTTTAATAATAGAGCTGCAGATTTTATGAAGCAAAACCTGGTAGAATTTAAAGAAGAAATAGACAACACTGCAGTCATAGTTGGAGATTATAGCACTTCTTTCTTAGTAAGAATCAATAAGAATATAGAACTACAGATATAAGACACTTGAGTAACAATAATAAAATTTACTTAATTGACAATTCTAGAACTCCACTTGAAAGCAGAATATCCATTTGATTCAAGTATATGTGGATCATTCACCAGTAAAGACTAATATTCTTAGCCATAAAAACACCAACAAATTTAAAAGAACGGAAGTCATATAAGAATATTGTCTTGCTGCAACAGAAATAAGCTCTAAATAAATAAAAAGATATCTGAAAAATCATGACTTAGAAATTTAGCAATATACTTCTTAATGACTCAAAAATTAAGGAAGAATTCATAAGTAAAATTAGAAAAAATTTTGAATTCAATAAAAATACCTCAAATAAAAATTTGTGCAACATAGATAAAGGATTTCAGAGTGAAATCTATAGCATCAAATGCATATAGTAAGTAAGAAGAAAGTTCTTGAATCAATGACCAAGTTTCCCTCTTAAGACAATGACAAATAAATAGTAAGTTAAAGCCAAACAGAGAGGAGAAAACAATAAAGATACAAAATTAATGGCATATAAAATTTAAAAAGAGAAAAATCCATAAAACCAAGATGTATTTCTTAGAAATGTTAATAAAATTGATAAACCTTTGGCCTTATTGATTGAGAGAGAAGACACAGCAGGAATGAAAAAGAAGACATCAGTATAGATCCTACCTACATTAAAAACAATTTTACAAATAAAATTTAACATACATATTAATAATTAATTTTAATAATTAAAAGATAGTAAAAGAATGGCAATAATTTTGAGAACTTAAAAGTGATGCATTCCTGGAAAATCTTGAACTACCAAAACTCACTCAAGAAGAACTACATAATCTGAACGATTAAAGAAACAAAATTTGTCAAAAAGATTACAATACACATATGAACATATAGTAAGTACATGTATAATAAAACACCTGTGGTGGTGAAACCACCAATAATAACAAAGTATTCATGTTTTTATTCATATTAAAGTTCTTAAAAATTTTATTACTACATGGGCTCTTAGTTTCTTATGGGAACTGCCAAAATTATCCTGGCTAAAGATCAATATGTCATGTAAGTTCTTTTCTGAGAAAAAACAAAACAACACAAAAACAAAGAATTTGTGGTTTAAACTATTTTGCCAAAAACCCAAGGACCAGAGCGCATTACTAGGCAATTTCTAGCCTTTGGCAACGGGGTAATAGAAGGAAAGCACAACAGGCTCATTCATTTTCTGAAGCTAATGAAAGGATGCTCAACATCAGTAGTCATCATGGAAATGCAAAACTGAACCACTACAAGATACCCAATCGAATGGCCAAAATTTAAAAGTCTGACTATTCCAAGTGCTGAAGGGAAGTGGAGCGACCAAAACTTTTATTTATTTCTGGTGGGAGTGCACAGTGGTGTGACCCCTTTGAGAACTATTTGGCAGTTTCCTATAAAGTTCAACACATACTTAGCATATGATCTAGCAATACTACTCCTAGATAGACAGCCAAGTGAAAGGAAGATGTTTCCACAAAACAGTCTGTATGCAAAGGTCCATAGCAGCTTTATTCATAGCAGCTCCAAGCTGGAAGCAAGGTGGAAAGAAGCCTGTGGGATGGCCACGCTAAGGACATTCTGCTTCATAAAAACAAACAACAAAGATCTACGTAAAAACAAAAAGAAAACAATTTCCTTCCCAGCACTGGCTTAAGTTCAACATGAAAAGAGAGATCATTTGTAAGATGTTATCAATGTCATTTCCAACATGGAACATGACAAATTAGCAACATTTTCCAAATGATGTCTTTCTCAGTGGAGTTCACTTAAACTAGAGTTAGGAAGGGGAAAATACATAAATTTGGTAAAAATGTATTTAAGTAAGTTTATTAATTTTTTTCAGTCACCTCATATTTTTAATAACAGCTGAGTAATTCATGCAGCAAAGATGAATGTAAATAGAATGCCGGCTCAAAACTAGGGTGCCAGTAAATGTAAAAGAAAACTTTAATTAACTTGGGAAATTAAAAATGACTTTTATAAGGCAATGCTAGTAACAAGGCATGTTCAGATGAACACTAAGCACATAACAAGAAAGGTCAAGAAGCTATTCCAGTGTGTCACGGACTAGGCAGCATTTACATGCAGTTTCAAAGAAAGCCAAGTAAAAATATATTAATGCAATTGACTAGATAAACAATACAGTCAAAGCAGTATGGGCCTTAATTCTATATTTTAATGTGTCTTTGTTTTTGTTTGGTCGGGTTTTTTTTCCTTGGGCAGGGTGTTTGTTTTGGTGGTACTGGGGTTTGAACCCAGGGCTTCATGCTTGTTAGGCAGGCACTCTACCACTTGAGCCACACCTCCAGCTATTCTTTCTTTAAATTGAAACACATATCAATTGCTTAAATTAGCATAAGCATAGCATAACTATGAAAGTCAAGTTACCCTTATCACTTGCACCCACTGTGGTCACAGGTAAACTGCTTACCAAGCAGGGCAAGTGATAGTCAGGAAGACAAAGAAAACAGTATATTTAAAAAGCAGTATTTTTAAAACTTAAGTTTCTCATCTGAAGATTTGACTTTGGTGGTTATAGAAAGAGATAGTTACCTTTAGAGATGATTTTAATACTGAAGAAAAAAAAAACAGTGTCCAGTGCAGTCATACCTATGTAGCACTTCCTATGTCCCATGTGCTATGCACATTAACTCATTAATCCTCACACCAGTCCAGTGAGTTAGACTATGATAATCTATATTTTAAACATAAAAAGACACAGAAAGTTAAGTAAAGTCCCATTGTTAGTAATGACATGAATTCAAATTCAGGCTGTCTGTTTTCTAGATTCTACCTTCTCAACCATTAAACTTCACTGCCTATAAAAATTTAATTTTAACCAATAAATTAATACAGTGTGTAATATTTTAAAGCTGACCACTTATAGATAGCCTTGTTTGTCAAATTTGCCTGAAAAATTTATAGAATTTTAAAAAGAAAAGCTATGTAGTTTAATTTAATCTGAGGAATTTTAGTGACTTGCAACTCTAGTATGTATTTATTCTTGCCAGCTACCCCTCTTTCATTCTATTAATTTCCTACAGGAAATTGCCAGCTAATAGAAAAAGCAGCACTGGAACTGCCTTGCATCCTATAGTTATTAATTAAAGCAAAGTCTGGTTCAGTAACTCAGGATACTAAAAATATAGAGTTAAACAAAGCTGACTGCCCTTGAAATGAAATTTCAACTTCAATAGTCTGTCTAAAAACTTTATGCATTAAAAATCCACATCTTCCCTTAAAGAAATTCTCTGCAAAATATTTAGTGAATAAAGCAACTCAATACCTGACTGTTCCTCACTAATACTTTAGAAGTGAAAGGAATCCAAAAAGCACCAAAATAATTACTGAAGTTTAAGTAAGTTCCTTTTAAGAGCAGTTAGTCACATCCTTCTACTATATTCCTATCTTCAGGTTATCACCCAAATCAGTAAAGCAAGAAGCTGCATAAACTATCTTATTAATTTTATATAATGGTTAGTAAACTTTAAAATACTGTCTATGAAACTTTTAAATGTTTCTGATGGCTTTAGATCACACTGGATAATTTATCGTTTTATGTGGCATAAGTGTTAGGTAAGTGAATATCATGCTGAGAAAATGCACATAGTCTCTGAATAGGAAAATCCATTCCATTGTAGTGTTTTCTTACATGATACAAGGTTATTATTAGGATGAATTTTAGAACCTAGTTCCATAAAAGTCCCTGACAACCATGCTGGATCTGTCTTTAAGCCATACAGGCTGCTGCATTGATTTGTATAACACCCCTCCCCAGGACCCTGTCAAGCTAAAGCTGCATTTTGGGTCTGTCATATTACAAACTGGCTGATGCTTTCTCACTAAACTCTTAGCATAACAGAGTCAAGGGGGTGATGCAGGAGTGGAATGAAACAGATGGAAAGAAATATTGACTGGTAAAGGCTTGACCTAATACAGCTAAAACATGAGTGGGAGGCAGTTCTAATGGACCTCACATTGAGGCATTTGTGAAAACTTGCTTTAGGGAATTATAAATGGTGAACGCAGAGAATAGAATTGTTGAAGTGGACAACTCCAAGACTTAGAGGAAAGAATTGTGGCACTGTTAAAACATGCAGCATTTTTATTTTTTGGCAGTTTTGGGGTTTGAACAAGACCTCCTGCTTGCTAGGCTGGAGCTCTCTTTCACCCTCAAACAATATCCCCATTGTTTATGCTTTTAGTTGTTTTTTAGGTAGGGTCTTGCAGACTGCCAGGGGCTAGCCTCAGACCTCAATCCTCCTACCTATGCCTCCCACTTAGCTAGGATCATAGGTTCACAGCTTGGCTTATTGATTGAGATGGGGGGTCTCACAAACATTTTGCAGAGGCTGGCCTCAAACCACTATCCTCCCAAACTCAGCCTCCTGAGTAGCTGGGATTACAGGTCACTGCACCCGGTCCTTGCAGCATCTTAAAACCAACATAATTTACTTTAACTGTGAGAGTGAAGCATCCAAGGACAACCTCGGGGTGAGCTCGTTGGGGGTTGGCAAAGCTTCCTATAGTACAGGGAATAGGATGGACTAATAGGATTGTCTATAAGGCTACACTGGATTGTTGGGATGAATAGCAAAGGTACATCTTTTAAAAATTATTTTTATTAGTGCATATTACTTGTACAAAATAATGAATTTCATTGAGACATTTTCACATGTCTATGATGTACTTTGGTCACCCTCTCTTAAGAAGCATCTTATTCTGCCATTAGTAGGAAGCTAGGGAATGTCTGGTGATGGAACATGTACTCCTTAAAAATACTTACTGAATTTTGACATATTTTCCTAGAAGACATACTTCATTGAAATCCATCTTTTCCATTCGAACACACAGGTAACAAACACATGCACAATTTGCAAATTATTCTCTACACTTAACCTATACATTTGATAGACTAACCTCTGAATTAACCTACAGTTAGACTTTCTTTAAAACAAATGAAGACACATTCTCAAGAAGTTGCAGAGAATTAATTCTTTGCATGTTAAATAAGATTTTCAAGCTGACTTCCTTATAATGTTAATATATTTCCCAATATATACTGGGGGAGGCGTGGGGGAGGAGTGAACCTTCCCCTTCTATATCAAATATCAACCTACTCAAAAGATCTGGCTTTCATTTTAAGGTTATTTGTGCCTTTGTTGTTGTGTTATATATGTGTCTCAGTCCATTTAGGCTATAACAAATCACAGAGTAGCTTAAACAACAACAAATATTTATTTCTCACAGCTGTGGAAGCTAAATCCAAGATCAAGGCATGAGCACTGGCAGATCTGGGGCCTGGTGAGGTTAATCTTCCCGATTTGCAGATGACTGCCTGCTCATTACACTGTGATATGATGGCTTTCTAGTAAGGCAACTAATCCCCTTCATGAGGGCTCCCTCGTAGCCTAATCACTTCTCAGAGTCCCCAACTCCTAATATAATCATATTGAGGGTTAAGATCTGAACATATAAACTGTATGGGCATAGAAACATTCAGGCCACAATAATAGAGATTCAGATATTTTGTGTTCAAGTATTTTTGTTTTGTGGAGATGTTAGTCAAATGGACAAACTAGACAAGAAATTAAAAAGATAGTGCATCAAAGTAGGTAACAGTCCTAGTTAGGACATGGTAGACAAATTTGGATTTAAGTTTCATGCTTTCTCCTTTCTCTGTGTCTTGGACCAATTATTTGAGCTCTCCAACTTCAGTTGCAATCCTCTTGTTAATGATAAGAATGGTTCCCATAAGAATTAAGACAATTATGTGACTTTCTTACCAGTGCCTGGCACATTGTAAAAACTGATCAGATGTCAGCTGCATGAGCCTAATGCATCCACTTAAACACAAAAAAGTGTTTCCTCATTTACAGACACCTCTCATGGTCTTTATCATTACTGGCAAGGCCATAACCCTGCACACCAAGGAGATCTTCATAATTGCAGAAGAAACACAAGACAGAAAACTGGTGTAGGTGAATATGGGCAAAGCATACCTGCTCAGGTATATTTTTCATTCAGAAAAATATATACTTTTGAAATTATGGTCCATGTTTCCTAAAGAAAAAAAGAGGGGATTATCTCTACTAAGAATTTCATTAGAATTCAATCTATACAAAAACTATGCTTACTCAGAAAGATATACAAAATCCTATTTGTTTAAAATATTAAAAAACACTAAGACAAAAATTACATCAAGATGCCACCATATTTCTTATGGGAAATGTATATTAGGAGAAACTAAGAATAGAATGTGATTCAGTTTCTTTTCATTAACAGTTTACCTCTTGATGTTTTATTTACAAGGTCACATAAAGTCATAAATGTAGTCTATGTAAAATGTAGTCCTTTTTCATATTTCAATGATGGGTTAATTTACCTCTTTCTTTCATGACTGCTGGTAGATTTGTGTCACTGCAATATATTATATCCTTCAGGAAAAAAATGATGCATCATTTAAAAATATTAACATATAAATTTTATTGTATGAGAATTAGGACCAAAGTAATCCTGCCAAATTAATTTAGGTAAGTATACTAGATAAATAAATCAGCACCCTTTTACTTCTAAAAGCACTCCAAGCAATTTCAAGTCATTAAAGATACTTTTAGCTAAAACATTTTGCCTTTTACTATGGTCTTAATGGCTGTATGACAGCATCTTTTTTTTTTTTTTTACCATGGCTTTTATGATGTCCTGTCGGCAGCAGCAGTTCAGAAAACTACAAAGAAAATGAAAATCAGGAGTAATTTTTGAACAAGCCTTCTAAAATTGTTAAATCAAAAATGACATAAATGTTGTAAGCTCTTGTAAATTCTAATTTTATACTTTTTTTTTTGACAAACATTCAATAGGAGACGAATCCTTCCTAAAAGGACACATAAAACTCATAGCAAATTGCAAAGGAGTAAGGAGTCCCTGAACAGTGTTCCAGGAAAGTTTTCCCATTTATCTGATTTGCTGATTTATGAACTAGCCTTATAGTCTTGTGACTTAATTTCTCTTAAGTCTACAAACGTCTCATATAGATGAATGTCATTATGTTTCATATCTATTTAGATTAAAAGCCAAGTCCCACAAGGGAAGAGACAGTCAATTATTTTCATTTTATGCTGTTATTATGAAATATTGCTGTTTTAAAATGTGCTTCTGGAGAATGAGAATTGTTCAACAACATATTTTAAAGTGAATTTCAGGTGTCTGAATGCCAGAGAGAAAATAATGTAATCTGAAAATATAACTTCAAATGGATTGTATTTATAATGATTTTGTGATTTTTTCCACTAAGTTTTCTCTGACAA